CATGAATTATTTAATAAGCTTGAAACCAAGACACCGACTACTGGTTTTTTATGGGCTAATTTGCTAATAATGATATACTTAAACAACGTATAATAGTCGAAGAAATGCAATAACCTGCAGTGTAATATGTACCTACATATTGCATGCGTGTTTCTAGAAAATGTTAATCATACTTTATTCAAATATTTTCATTCGAAAACCTATTTGACAATTGTTCTATAATATTTCATTATTGAAATGATAATAATAATATATTCGAATACTTTTCTATACATATATAAATAAATTACATTTTATCTATGTAATCCAAATAGATTACATATAATCTATATATAGGTACCTATATAAATATAATACGTCTACATTATACATATGCATAGGATATAATATATATACTTAATGATTTAGAGAAATATGTTATAATACCTAATAAAATCGTACATATTCGACACGCCGTGATGTGTAAAAAATCTACTATTCATAATTATACACAATATTTTTGTACTTTAAAACGTCATTATGTTTTAACTAACTGGAACGAGTATATTATGTATATATTAAAATAAGATTAAATATATTTGATAATATACCTAAGACTTGAATTAAAACCATAGTATGAAACAATTTATAATGAGTTAGTATAGTATAGTAACATAATAAAATATTAATTATTTAATTTTATACCGTATAGTTAATGATATATGTTTTTTTATATATATATTTCATTATTTTAAGTACGTAAATTTTGTACAGAACATATATGTTATAACTTATAAGTATTTAATAAAATATACGAAAACCATTTTTGTGTAGTAACTAATAAGTGTATACCTACAAATCATTTATATATATTTATAATTAACATACTTTTCTGGCAGTTATAAATAATTATATATTTTTTACTCTCATTTCCAAATTACACAGATTTACAATTATAAAATATGATTTTGTACGGTGATTATCGACGGAGAAATTTAATTTTGTGCATTGTTGCCAAATACTAAATAGCGTGGATTTCACAGTTGTATTTAACAGAATAAAATAAATTTATAGAACGACGAACAGCCCAAAAAGCTTTCACAAAATTTAAAATGAACAATTTAGTAGTGCTTAGCCGCTTAGCGCTCACCCACTAATACGTCATGTGTACAAGGCCGGCCCAAGGTATTTTTACGCCCCGGGCAATTTTTTGAAAGGCGCCCTTAATCAAATGCTCCATAATACATTTAATACTTTTTATACGAGTACTTACCTACATATTTTGCTTAAAATTCTTATAYTTATGGATAGGTAAARGATTGCAAAACTTATTTGGATACAATTTATAGACGTATYGGCTGTAAHACATACTTTTTCGGTTTTCCCGAGTTAATGATAATAATATATCATTGTATATTATTTTGTAATTATTTGTAATATGATAATAAAAACTGGAAAGTGGAGTAAAATATATTACAGAATATTCTGTCATAGATAATTTAGTCATTTAGCTATATTTTTGTCAATTTGAATAAATATTACGCTAAAATTTATAAAATATATTCGTATATTAAAAGCGCCCCTAAAAAAGTAGCTCCCCGGGCAACCGCCCAGTTCACCCGTATCTTGGGCCGGCATTGCATTTATATTATAGTGATACTAATAATGATGGAGACTCATGCTGAAACAATAATGTATGTGTTCAATCTCAAGATGTATYCATAAAATAATGGCTCTATTTGGTTTAAGACTTTTTWAAATTATTTTAATGATGGTATTTTATTAATATTTTGAGATTTTGTTTTTATCTGACTAAAATATTTCATTTAAAAGTTCAATAATTATGAATTTGACAATGTTGATGACCATTTAGCACTCAGATGATCGTGTTGTATTTAGATTTCCTCATTGTTCTACATACTTATACGCAATCACCGTTTTGACAAATACGTAAATAGTACACCTAAACAATCAAGTTCTTTGCAAATTAACTAACGGATTTCATCAAATTTGGCACTAAAGATTATACAAATTTCACACAAATATTAATATCATGCTCATCAGAAAAAAATATTCATTCTGTTGAAAAATACTATAAAATAATAGAGTGGCTTATACAACAATCTACTAATTAACACACAATAATTAAATTAATTTAAATTACTCACACAATTTATACATTAATATTATAATAATAAAATACATTTATAATAAGCTACATAAATTCCTATATAGAATATAGATTCATTTATTACTCTACTAGATCTAAAAGTTAAGGTTAATGCACGATGATCAAGTGCAATAGAGTAACTTCTTTATAAAATCATAATATAATAGTATTAAAGACGTAAGATGTTTGGAAATTTTTTATTTATCTTCTGATCATATACTATTATACTGGTAACTGCTTACAACTAATGGAAATATGATGACGATATTTGATCACAGCTATAATTATACATGATGAATATTGTATGTACCTACTTTTAGTATCTAAATATCAATTCAAAATCAACAATGATGATATACATTAGAGTAAAATGAAAATAAATTCATCGCTCCGCTCAGAATCTAAAATGTAACTATAAATATTATATTTAGGTATTATCCTTCTTTAATTTATCACTTTAAATTTCTTTTTATAATTGAAAATATTTAAAATAAATATTTACAGCAATATTACACAAAAGAATCTATTATTCCATTAAAAATGTTAAAACATTTCATCACTCTTAAATATAAAAATGATATAGAGATTTAACACGAGGTTTTACAATATTATTGATGAGTGATTGAGTGAAATTGTTTGATCAATGATCTATTTTGCAAATTCCATTATCAGCATAATAAAATTGAATTGTATTACCTAACAATAATTGTACTTTTTAAAATTCAAATCACACATTTTCATTCGATCACATATTATTCGTTTTCCCTTAACAAAACAATCCTGTTCTACTTTATGTATAATCAAATCTATTCATTATTTTCTTTTATATACGTACGTGAAATGTATAATATATACCTAATATATTATTATGTAGGTATACCCGTAGCTAATACAAACATGCATCAGAAGATATAAATAATTACTAATTGTTACACGCTATAATATATAGTCACTTAAATATTTCCTTCGAACTCCATGAGAACTAAAATTAATTTGCTTGCARCATTAAAACAATAACAACAAATGCATATATCAATGTTATCTTAATACTTCTGATGATAGTTGAGAACAAAAATGCTGATCTTATGAATAAAATAATAAAATTACTCAAAATAATAAAAAGCTAGAAGAATAAGACTACTTAATTAAATTATGTAGGTAGGTAATTCAAATGTAAAAATATGTTAATGCGTATGTATATGGGGTATTATACACGTAYGCAACTATTTTATTCTACCCACAATACTATAAAAGTTAATTTAGAAATAAACTAGAATCTATCAGAAATTCAGAATTCATATTATTGTTAATCATTTTTTTAAGTATAACGAAGTCCAGTAATGATTTAAATTAATTTTTTTAATTTACTTATATTGTAATACGAATTAACCACATTATTCAATAATTAATAATTTTAGAAATACTGGGGCAATGATTTTCCATATTTTTCATAAATTACGATAATAATACTAATGAGATGCGCAAAAAATAATACGAAGACGATCCAAATGTTAGTAGGTACAATAAAATTATTTAGTGTGTAAAACTGACTAAATTTAATTCACATAATTATTCTTATAATTTAATTGTCACCCACTATTAATTTATCGTATAGGTCCTAATAATTTCGATAGTTACTATTTAACAGAGCATAACGTTATGTATTTTATAATGTAATTATTTTTCGTTGCTGTTTAGGAATGTAGCTTAATTTGACAGTAATTTTATGTTTTTTAAAACACTTAAAAAATAAAATATGCAGTCTTCTTCAAGTTTCTTTAACCTAGATTATTTTATTATTCATATTTTATAATAAATCGAGTAAAATATTTATTTATAAAATTAATTTCTACTTTGTATCACAATTGTATTAATTAATTTAAAAAAAAATATATATATACAATATTTATGCAATAATGTTCTGTGTACAATTTGTGGTATTATATTCAAATTAATATAGAACATTTTGGGATGACCTACAAGTATTATTATTTTGGCATTATACTTAATATCCTCATGATAGTAACTTAATATTATATCAATTTTTCTGTTTTATACATAAAATCTGTATTCTTTTACTTTTTATATCTTCATCAATTCTACTATGTAGATATTTTATTGTTTTATAATAACTTTAATTATATTCATATAATTATTTACTATAATTTTATAACAATCTTATATTATGTATATCAATATTGAATATGTATAATGTGATGTCTTTTTTCAACTCGTATGGTCACTCAATAAAGTTTTTTTTATATATGTATTATACTGATAGAAAATTATTTGAACAATCATGAATATTAAATTATTACACCATATTTATTTATTGATATCGGACGTAGAACTAAGTCATTATCTTAAAATTATATTCACTGAATGAAATATAAATATATACATATTATTTTACATGACCACTTACAAAATGTATTTAATTTAAATAAAAACAAAATTTATTTTTGAATCAATTATACGCACAATTTACATTAGTGGAAATTCAATAGCATATTTTATTTACTGAATTTAACAAGATTCCCTATCATATTACGATGCTTACAATTGTGTATTAAAAAAGTTACTACACCATTAAATTTGATATTATAACTATACCGACAATGATATTTTTTATTTTTTTTTTTTGTCAAACTCGAAATAAATATAACATTGTTTTTGTGAAAACAATTTAGATAAAAAAAGTGAGAAACCTATTATTATAATAATATAAATTATGGCAGGGGAATAATGTCGTGGATACGTTACAACTGTTTTTGTATAGTAGGGTCTACATATTCTATTTTGTCAATTAGGACTCAAAATAATTAAATCACACCATAATTTCGTTTTACAGTTCGTGCAGAGCACTGTGAGCGTTGGTGGGGGTGGAGGTGGTGGCGGTGCCAGTGACATTTGGCCACTGGAGCGGCCCGATGGTATGCCGGTGATCCAGTCGCTGGAGGTGATGTGTGGCAAGGACCACATGGACGTGCATTTGCAGTTCACCCATCCGTTCGAAGGGATCGTGTCGTCCAAGGGCCAGTACGCTGACCCGCGGTGCGTGTACGTGCCACCGTCCACCGGCAAGACGTTCTTCACTTTCCGCATAGCGTACGCACGGTGTGGCACCAAGCCTGATCTCAACGGTCAGTTCTACGAGAACACTGTGGTCGTCCAATACGACAAGGACCTACTGGAAGTGTGGGACGAGGCCAAGAGGTTGCGGTGCGAGTGGTACAACGATTACGAGAAGACCGCGTCCAAACCGCCCATGGTCATCGCCGATCTGGACGTTATACAGTTGGACTTCAGAGGTGGGACGGCTAGAAAATTATATTATATTAGTGTGATGCGTATGGTGTTTAACTGTAAGCAACAACGATATTATCTTAATAATTTTGATAAATCTCTTGTGAAACGATTCGTTTTGGGATCATTTTTGAAACTAAATCACACCACAGTTTCGAAATCACTATAATATAATATGTTAAAATATTATTATATGTTTCTATATTATACTCGTACCCACATTTAATATACATATCATTATCAATATATCATAATATTATCATTAATAAACTATGTAATGTTTGTCTGAAATATTAGGTGATAACGTCGATTGTTGGATGGAAATACAACACGGAAAAGGACCGTGGGCTCCGCCAGTTAGCGGTATAGTGCCTTTGGGTTCTACGTTAACGTTAGTGGTAGCCATCAATGATTATAGAGGTAATAAATAAAACTATAAAAATATAAACATAACAGTACATAATTTTAAAATAGTKTACTAATATASTATATTACTATAATCTATAGTAGTAGTATAGTGAAGTAACGGTTATTTATAAATACTAAATTGTAYATGATGCATGATTATATTTAGAAAATAATTAAAGGTCCTATCCGACTGAAGTGTCAATACATGTAATACAATATATGAATATTTTTTTCTTAATTTTCTGTTTATTTTTATTTTTTTAAATTCAAACATAAAAATATATTTTTGTAATAGTATTAATGTCTACAGTGTTAGCAAACACTGAATTGTAAATATGGAACATATTATATTGTGTGCATATAATTATTGGATTTTCTCCTTATTAGAAACTGTAACTTTAATTCCATAAGCTATATTTTCATTGGAACCATCATATGAATAAAAAAATAATTCTTAGTATGTAATAATAATAATGATTAAAGGCAGATATCAAGAATTTTTATATTTGTTTTACGCAATCGTAAAAAAGGATCAGCTAAAACAAACTTATTTCATGTTAAGACAAAATCAAATTTTTAGTTTTATATTGGATATAACATGATGCATATTTATATATTTTTAAGACATTATAATAATAATATTTATGATTATTTTTAGTTTTGAGACATATTTCTATATTGTTTGAGATATATTTCTTAAGATTTCTATTTAAGAACGTTTATCAAAACAATAATATTTTCTAACACCATTTCTCATTTGATCATTTGAAAACCRATTTATTATATTATACCTAAAACAAAAGGTTAAATTATGTTCATGAATTATGTTTGGTTATGCCTACATAGGTGAGTTTGACATGCGAGTGAAATCTTGCGCCGCGTCCGACGGGGGTGGTCACGTCATTCAGCTGACAGACGACCAAGGGTGTGTTCTAAGACCAAAAATGATCAGCGGGTTCCTGAAAGCTCGGACTTCAGACGAACGGGCGTCTGTCATCACGTACGCATTCTTTCACGCCTTCAAGTTCCCGGATGCGCTCAGCGTGCACATCCGGTGTAAGGTGGAGATATGTCGGCACGGTTGTCTGGACCACTGTCAGACGGATGAACGTACATCGGCCGGACATTTACTTCAGCAGCAACAACAGCACCAGCTCCAATATGGGCCGGTGGATAGGAAGGACCAGCAGAACGATCGTTCGGACTACGTCCAAACAGTAACGGTCAACACGGACCAGCCGAGTGCTCAAGCGCAGATGGCRGTGCACACTCCGTTTGATACAACCAGTCACAATAACAAGCCACAACCTGGTCAAAATAAGGTACGGTACCTACCTACTAAAATAAACATTTTCTTCGTTTCACCATATTTGTTATAAAAAGGTGTGTAGAGATATTATACGATTTATCTTTTATTGTAGTTTTCAATAGAGGTGTCAAAATAATTTAAATAAGCCATTTTTTTCATTTTTTTTACATGTATGAGATTGAGGGTTATATACAGGGATTGTACGTTCATAATTTTTTATACAACATATATCTTGTAAATTCACGTGAAATTTAAAATGGAAATTCACTTCAATGTGACAATAAATTAAACTTCAGCATGATAAATTTTGTTTTACTTTGCTATTTGTGTATACATTTTAAAAATATTTTGACTTTTTTAAGCTATTTATAGACAGTTGAAATTTTCGATTTTTCTAAGTTTTTTTTATTGAAATGCCGATAAAACAATTTGGCTGTCCAACATATAATCTTTTAAACTTAATACAAGGTTTATCATAAGTTGTAATTATCGTAGTAAATAAAAATCAAAAATCGTTAGTCATGATTTTTGTTTACAAGCATTTAAAGTTCAAATGTTTACGAAACATGTCAAAATCGCGAAAATGTGCATGGAATTATGAAGTTGAAAATTCATAAAATTTTTGTGATTTATACGTAAGGTTAAAAACCCAACACTAGGTTCTCTACAACTTTTTCTTCAAATAGCTGTAAAAAAAAAAAAAACTGGAAAGCAGCTTTTTTCAGTCTTGGGCGAAATGCAGCCTTCGTGTGCGGCTTTTACAGCAAACGTTGCCCGTGACTGTAGAAATATCTCATCACTCTTGCTATTGCACAATATACTATAATAGTCGTTCATAAAAAAAAAAAAAAAAAAAAAAAAAAAAAAAAAAAACAGTATGTACTTTACCTTATGATATTTGATTAAGAATGATAACGATTTTTCGCAGGAAACACTGAACCGAGACGGTTTCCCGCATGGACCACGGAACCTGGAAGACGGCGTAGTGGTGCCGTCAGACGACACCGCTGACGACAAGCAACTGCCAACTGCGGCGCCGGCGTCTTCCAATAACGAGACATCGGACGAGCAGCAGACAGATGCGGGCTTCGCGCAATGGCAGAGGCGCCGGCGCCGGCGTTCCGTGAACGTGTCGGACGCGGGCAACGCGGACGTGGGTGTCAGTGGGTTGTACGACGTTATATCACAATCGGACCTGGCGTTCACGCCGRACACCAAGACGGACAGCGACGCGGTAACCATATTTCAGGGACGGATCCGCGAGGACGTGGTCTACGGTATATGCATGCCAGTGCACGGGTTCGGCGCGCTGTTCGTGATGTTCGCGGGTTCGGCGATCGTGTCCGTTGTGGTGGCCGGGTTCCAGTTACACAAGTACCAGGTGAGGCGGGAGACGCAAAAGATGATGTCCGTCCAAGCGCATCAGCACAGTGTGGCCGCGGCCGCCGTAGCCGCCGGCGGTGGTTACATACACAACTCGCTGGCCGGCATCGTGGCGCTAAACAAACTGATCGCGTCCAAAACGGCCGCCGCCACTGTCACTCAAACCAGACGAAACAGCTAATCGACCACTATTATTATTATTATTAATAATGATAATATTATATAATATTATATACACATTACTACTACGATGACGACGACGACGATTACGCTTTTCGAAAACATACGTTATTGTGACTGGAGTTGTGGTGGTGGGGGAATCTATCTCATCAAAGTATACTCGTTCTTTTTACTTATCCATCATCGAACTGAAAATAGAAAAACATTATTATTATTTATCTTTATATTCTGCAATTTTTTTCCAAGATAATTGTGCGACTAAATTACCAGGGTCGTATTTAGAGGTGTGAAAAACAGGAGGTAGTTTCCCCAGGTGGGTATAATTTTAAGAGTGTGAATATTTTTTTGGACATTAATTATTATATTTTAATAATACATTTTTTTTTTTTTTTTTACTCGATTTTATTACAAAAATTGTTTTTTTAAACTGATACTACGTTTTATTTTCCGTTAATTTGATGGTTATTTTTATAACCGTCAAATTAACTAGTTAAATGCCTAAATACGACCCGGGATATTAGTATCGTTCTTCATCGTTTATATTGAACAAAAATACACAAAACATACYGAAGTATTATATAGGTACTCTACCGCCAAAAATTGACAAGTATTAAAATGTAATTAGATTCTTAGACATAAGGCTTTCAGGGTAGTCCACCACGACACCAATTCTATATTTGAACTTCATACACATATTACCACCACGTGCTAAGCGTATATATTTTTAAATACTCTTATTGTGACTTTTATTGTGATGTAATATTACAGTACCCCAGACTCCAATTAATGCTCACAGCAAATATTTGAAATTCATAAACTGAATTTAATTTTACACGTTTAAGTATATTGTAGTAGATGTATACATAATATAATGGACTATTATTATTATTTTCTGATATTGCGTTTGAATTAAGAAAAAATATTTTTTTAATTGGTGCTAAATTCTAAAACAGCAATGGATAATAACTTGAATATAATATGCATACGTATTTATTATTTAAATATTTACTAGTGGATTGTTCGAGTATTGGTACACATAGATTACCGTTATGTTTAAAAATCTGTAAACAAACAAACTTATTAGACAATTCATTAATTTATTCCCCTTTTATATCGTGCTTGATATTAAGTTTAATTATACTTGTGTAAATAAATATYTAAATACTGAATGATAGCAATCAAAACTAGATAATTTTGTTATTATTTATTATATTTTAAAATTAAATAGTTTAATATTGTATAGTCATGAAACTGGCCAGTTCTTCATAATAAAAGTTTAAGTTTTATATACAAATTTAGCAAATTTTATTATCTAGTAAACCAAAATTTCTTGCGACTTAAAAATTAAATTTATAAAGTTCGTTCGAGTTGTATTTATGACACAGTGTTTCGTATAAGTGAAACACGAAGGTACATTCATGTAAATGAWCATCTTATTTTTAATTAATACATATACTATAATCTATAGTATCATATAGTGTATTATACTATTTCAATCTGATTTACAACACCCGTTGGCATTTTTTTACTTAATAATTAAGTTCTTGTAAATATTTTATTTTTATTGTGTATTTATTATTTAATATATTTAGCATGAAATTGTTTTGCTCAGCATTTTGATGAGGGGTGAACAGAATGAAAATGGAACTTTTTCTTAATATTAATGACTTTTGTATATTATTGTCTGAATTTAATCTATAGAAACTAAATAAGTCATATAATTTGTCATACTATTTTAAATTTCTTTCAATTAAGAATAAAGTTTGTAAACGAACTTATATCTTAAAAAACTTAAAAATATACATACCTAATAGATCAATATTTCTTAGAAATACAGTTAAAAAATATAATTATTAGGTATTGAGTTATTCATAAAAATTAAAAGTTACAAAATTARTAATTATCTAATCCATTTTTACTCTGAGCCTCACATAATATTGTAATCTTATATTTTATGGTATAATTTTTACTGCGTTAAWTTTTTTTTTATATATTTATAAATATTTTGTTATTATCATAAAGTTAATAACTGTATTATGTAAATAAATTTTAAACAAGTTTTATAATTGTATTTTATTTATTATTTCATACTATCTGAATCTAATCCAAATACACTGTTAACTGCACATAACAYCATGACTATTAATAGTCATGGCGGTTATATACCCATAGGCCATAACCCATRGATTAAATACACTTCGGCACAATGATTTATAAATTATAATTATATTTTACTACATTAAATTCTAAATTATGTTTTTCTTGACAACCCTAGCACGAGGAACCTTTGAAGATTATATATATTACGTCAAAGACCATAATTAAGAAATCCGATAACGATATTAATGATATCCCCGATCAAATAATAAGATTGTGTATGAATTACACAAACTTTTTCAGTCAATGATGCATTTAATATTATTTCCTAGATACACTAGGGTCACTAAAATGACGAAAATTCCGGTATTTTTTAAATAAATAAATATTGGGGTATGTTAACTTATGTGTAAATACTGTAAATGTTTTCTGCATCAAGATACGCAACGCATAGATTTGCTTGATTTTCTGTTTCAATATAAAGACGATTTATTTCTGGTACTTGGRYAYAGGGTAGATTTTTTTACCATTAAACACAAAAGTATGATTTAGCCCGGCTATCAAATTAAGTTGATTTTTATATTTTACATGAATATTTGTAAATGCTATTTCATTAACATAACTTTAAACTCAATTGATTCAAGTTTATATATAAATAATCATACAATAAATCTAATACAATTATTAATGATGGTTGATAATACTATAGTAGAAATGAAAAATATAAGTGAAAATTGAATGCATGCTTTTAAAAAGAAATACTAATAATATGCACATTTCTGAAAAACACAAATTGAAAGACGATTTTGTCATATTAAAACGTAAGCAATTATTGTTTTTAATTAATGCTAATTTATGACTAGCAGTTGAGTACTTTCAATTTTCATTGATATAAATATGATTTATTTAAATTTTTTTAATAATATCGATAGACCATTTTATGTAAAATAAATTACTTCACTTATGTTTGTAAATTGGCGCATTCCAATTGCGTCCGTAAATTATATTTTGTCCGAGTTATTGTGTCCGTGGTTTTGTCACGACACATCCGGAGTTTCGTCCATGGGTTTTTCAGCGACTGAGAATAATGTTTGGTGATAAACTAGTAGATATCTCAAGTATCGATATCTTATCTGTAAATACCCGTTTACAACTTATTGTTGGAGATTAATTTCGTTCATGTTAGCATCAGTCACACCTCACACTTCGACATTCCATGTTCGATAAATCAACATATTTTTATTTATGATTATTTAACTTTGCAACGGAAAATCTTGAAATAATTAAAATGTCCAGTGAAAAAAATAAACTATTATCTTATTATATTGTATGAATAAATACAAATTCGCTTTTCAAAAATGTTTAAATAATAATGTTCAATGCGGCCGTGTTCAAAGCGTTTATGTAAGGCCGGTRACACACATGAGAAATTTGTTTCGTGAAACAAGAAATTTATTTCGTTACTTGAAAACGCGTGTATTTAAATGGAGCAACACACACTGTTGTTTCCGAAACGTTATCGCAAAAATATTTTGTAAACAAGTTTCATGTGTAATTGTTTCGTCATTTCACTATATCAACTCCCGCGCAGTTAACGACGTAAATATAGGTATGTACAAATATGATAATTTATAATTATTTATATTGTTATTGATTATGATTATATTATACTATTAACTACCTGTTTAAACTATCTTCKATRTTATAAAGGATCAGAAAAAGTACAAATATCAATAGATAATAGTAAAAATGTAAAAAAAAATAATGCAAAAGTTTAATACCTATTGGTTTCGATTTAACCACCACTGCAGAACAATAATGTCATCATCAGACGACATCTTTAGACCAACTAAAACGAGCTGGGTGAACTAAATGGTGGGAAGGTGAAAAAATATTTATGAAACAAATTTGTTCTGTGTGTGTAGTGTATTGACCATGAAAATATGTTTCATGTGATTCATTGTAAAAAACAAATTGTATGAAACAAATTTCTCATGTGTGTCACCAGCCTGTGTTATTTTAAAATGAACAAAAGTAGTGATATCATTTGGAGGATGTGGAAAAAGAATAATTTAAAAAAAAAAAAAAAAACTATGACTTAGTTTGAAAACAAAAATTTAACACGTCTTGAGTTCGTTAAAAAATTGGCATACAAAAATTACTCATTTTATAAAATAATAAACAATTACAATTTTTAACCTCACCATTTATACAAATGACAGTCATTAAAAGTCTATAAAAGGGGGGAGGTAAATAATACGTATACTTTTAACCAATTAATCCATTTATTATTAACCAGGTCGTAACTCATCGTACATGTCGCGAGCAAATCGTGGACGCAACTCGGATGTGTTGTGCAAAAACCACGGATATCGCGATGTATAATTTCGTATTTTGGGACGCAATTCGTATACAGCCCCGCAGCAATACTTGTTGCTGGCCATATTGACCCAAATATTTTATGTTCATCAATTTTCTTATAGATTTGTTTCCAATYGGACTTTAAAACTATTCTAAATAGTTTTAGGCAGCGTAAAGCTACATTTTTGAAAAAAAAAAATTTCTAAAATGTTTGATTTAACTACTTGATTTGGGGGAAATAGTTTTTTTATRTTTAAAATATGTTTGATAYATTATAATGTAGAAGGACCGTATTTAGACMGTTCAAACGGGGCTTTATCTTTCACGTGTTCGACGCACAAATTTATTCTAATACAAAAATAATTTGAAATTGATAAAAAATTGTACACTTTTTATTGGAAAATATAGTRTATTAATCACTTATAATGATTTATAATGATTATAAACACTCATATATGTATAATCATTGATATAGCATCTAAGATTTAAAACCGACATTACGAAAAAGAAAAACTCGATAACTCGCTTGTGAGTTGAGAATGCCAGCTGATCACAACAATGGAAAACAAAATCATTCACATTCTCGTTTCCACAYGAGGTTTCAACGACAGCATACGCACGGACGGTGAACGAATGCTGTATACCTACGCTGCAGCGTTCGAATTAATCGTTGGAATTAGACCTTAACGCCGAATCTTAGCTGATTTGCYGAAGAGAAAAAAAACTATAGCTCGCATCTCACCATGTGGCCAACGTACCTACCTATTATACTGCGTTCGGAACAGCATGGTAAAATTAAATATATCGCCAGCATCAGCTAGGACRTAACACTAATACAAACTATTTTGTTGTTTTCTCCGCTTGCGCACAATTCAGCTATAAGACACGCGGCGTTATGTTAGACATCTGATGGGCCGCCGTCACGATCGACGGTAATAATATACCAACGGTGAACTATGCTGGCGCGGGACGTCAGAACGAGAACAGGGCCCGCTCTTATAGAAGCTTCGGCGCGTGTTTGGCGCAATACTGTTCCGTTTTCGAAACGGAGCCCGTCGGAGATGTATAAAGATAAGCCGTTTGCTGTCGTTGTGGTACGCTATTAGCTCAAACCGTGTCAGTAACCGTACGAGTTGTACCACTGCAGGTTGCGTGATCATAGCGGAGCGCGTTGAAATCCGAGCAAACATTGCGCAGATAATATTGCGGCGGCACTTCGGGTGATGAATGGAAGCGACGCTGCTCAACGCGTTCTGCTCAACCGCCAAAACGGAAAACTGTGAAAACTCGGTAATTTGTGATTCACGACTCGTGAATGCTGGCTGATCACAGCAATGACAAATAAGAACAAATCTTGTGATCACACGTTTTTACGACGGMTGCACGTACCTGCAGCATGCCGATRATTCGAGCTGCATACAATATATTGTTTCATTTGCGTGCGTAAGCCAGTGCTATCTCACGGCGTGTTACGTCTGCACTTTTCGTTGGTATCGTAAGAGCTGTGCGTCTGAACCATCATGCAGAGACGTCATCGAGACCGTCACAACATTGGTACATATACATTTATTACTCGCACAAACGTTTTCAACATGATGGCCGATGGCCACTACATAAGCATCCGATAAGCTAGCATATTGGTTATTACGCTA